TCTCGATGTAAACGAGGCGAACACGAGCCCCGACTCTGCTCGTGTTCGGCTCATTTATATTTCGAGTTCAAAAAGCGTGTTCGTGTTTGGCTCATTTGCTTAGCGAGCCGAACACAAGCCGTTCACGAACAAAGAGTCGTTTTGACAACCCTAATCATGTAGTCATAAGATGTTAAGGATTTGGGCAAAATTTAAAACATCATTTGAATCTAATTTAATAATTTTTATTATATTTTCTTAATTAATATTTTTAATTGATTATAAATCATTGTAGCCTTTTAGTCAATTAAATTTTTTAAAAGTACTGCTCATCACACACACACACACACACACACACACACACACACACACACACACACACACACACACACACCCATACACACACACATGCATACATAGAATAATAATAATATATGTTCAAAACGAGCTAACGAGCCGAACAAGAGTTGTTCGCGAACAACGAGCCGTTTTGACAGCCCTATCTTTCTCTCTCTCTCTAGGTCAATTAATTGAATTGAAAACATTACGAATTCTCTCTCTCTCTCTCTCTCTCTCTCTATTTATTGAATTGAAATCTCTCTCTCAATTAATTGAATTGAAAACATTACGAATTCTCTCTCTCTCTCTCTCTCTCTCTCTATATATATATATAAGAAAAGAAAATTTACATACATACCACTCAATTCTAAAATGTATTTACACATAGAATGCCAAAACTTCAATTTTTACATATATGCCATCCAAATCTTTCATTGCATATAAAAAATACCACTATTTGCATATATATATGGTGTTAGATATGTAGATACATTGGAATAGGTGGAATGAATGCAACTCTTCCCTATTTTTGGGGGAAAATTTACATACATAGCACACAATTCTTATGTATTTACATTATCTCACACCTATATTTTCAAATTTACATACATAACATTTTAGTGATTTAAATTCATTCATGAAAAGATGTATTTAGCATTTTAAAAAGTAATAATAGTGCTATTATGTGATATTAAATATTTAAATGCTATTTTTGTAAATATGAAAATTTAGATGCGAGTTGTGTGCTATGTATGCAACATGGTTAGAGAGATTTGGCCCATTGTTTTATACAAAAAAATATGACAAATACAAGAAATAAATCACATTTTAAGCCCAAATAAATCACATTTTAAGCCCACCAAATGGTTAATGGATGCCTATTAAACAAAAGATGTCTACAAAAGATGAAGATTCAATGATTTAACTGAGGTTGAACAAGAGATTTAACATGATGGAATATATATTTAAATTATTTTAATATAATTTAAGTGATAGAATAATAATATATTGATATCATTTTTATCGATTGAACAAATAATATTTTGATAGAGGACAATAGTTTTGAATATTTTGAATAATATTCTAGATCAAAAATTTAAAATATGATATTTTTTGTATTTTTAATTTAAATATATCATTTATGGTCATCCGATCAAATTAAAAGGCTAACACTAGACAATATTTGAACCAACCGATTCTTTAGAAACCATAACATTTCACCGGTTAGTTCGGTTCTAACTGGTTCAATCCTGATTCTATACAGGTGCAGTTCTAAGCTTAGAATGAATCGGCCGTTTCGGCCAGAAGTTTAAAACCATGCTTACCATTGCTACAAATTAATAAATACAACAAGAAGAAGTCTTTATCTCAATGAGTGAGATTGGCAACATGAAACATTTTTCTCCGTTGTGTCCTATTGACTGTCATATTTTCATTTAATTCTAATAAATTAATATCATTTTTTTTATAGAACATGTCTAAGTCTTTTTAGGTCTATCTCTACCTTTCTTAAAAAAAGTCAAATTTAAAATGTTTAATATCCTGATGGGATCATCGGATGGCCGACATTTAATGTGACCAAACCATCAAAGACAACTCTCGCTAATCTTGTCTGTCACTATAGCTACACCAACACCTTCACATATATATATTTATTTAACATTTTGTCTCTAAGTGCAAAAGAACTCATCCACCTAAGCATTCTCATCTTAGCAACACTTAATTTTATGCTTCTCTTTTATAGGCCAACATTTTGAGCCATAAAACATTGTAGGTCTCACCACCATCTTATATAATTTTCCTTCAAGTTTAAGCGGTACTTTTTTATCACTAAAAAAGGCCTAATGCATTTCTTCACTTCAACCATCCAACTTGAATTCTACTAATAACATCCCCGTCTATATCACAAGCACATTGAACAATAGACCCGAGATATCTAAGACATTCACTCCTTTTAATGAGTTGATCACACATTGTAACAACTCTGCACTAAATTTAGTACTATTACTAAAAGTACATGCTATATATTTAGTTTTAAATCTACTCAAACAAAAGTCTTGAGCTCTAATGTAGACCTCCATAATTCAAGTTTATTCTGAACTCTTTCTCTACTCTTATCCACAAGAAGGATATGCAAAAAACATACTCCAAGGTACGTCCTCCTGTAAATGTCTACTAAGTGCATCTATAACTAAAGCAAAAAAGACATGGATTTAAAGCCAATCCCAGATGTAATTCAATTCAAATATTAAAATAATTGGTCAATCCTTCTCCTGTTCGAGCACTAATAACAGCGTTAGTATACATATCTTTAATGACCTGAATATAACTCATATCAATAACTTTCTTTTCTAAAACTCTTTAAAAAATTTCTCTTGGAATTTTATCGTCGTTTCTAAATCAATGAAAATCATATGTAAATTTTCCTTACTCTTTGTATTTCTCCATAAACCTTTCAATAAATGTTTAGCTTCCATGGTAGATTTGAATGACATAAATCCAAACAGATTGTAGGAAATCTTCGTATCACGCTTAACCCATTCTTAATTACTTTCTCATAATTTTAATGTATGACACATTAACTTAATTCCTCTATAATTTGCACTTTTGTACGCCCCCTTTATTCTTAAAAATGAGAATCAAATTACTCTTCGTTCATTCTTCATATATCTTTTTGTTTTAAAAATAATATTAAAAAATTTAATAATCTAAGAAATTCTCAAATCTCATAAATATTTCAACACTTCTATTGGGATATTATCAGGTCCTACAAATTTTCTACCCTTAATTTTCTTTAAAGCCTCGTTAACTTCTTTTTACTAATGTGGCGGTAAAAATAAAAAAAGATTTATTATTATTAACAATATTAAGTCACATTGAAAAATTTATCAAAATATCTCACTCATCTATGTTGAGTATCTTCTTTTAAGAAAATCACACTTTGATGTTCTTTAATAGACTTTACTTGAATTAAATCCTTACTTTTTTTTTCTCTTTATTTGGTTAGTTTATAAGTATATATTTCACCTTCTTTAGTATCTAATCTATTATAAAGATCACTAAAACAATAATTCCTAACATGACAAATTATCCTCTTAAACTACATATGTGCCACCTTATAGTTTTCCCAATTATCTAAACTTTTATATTTAAACTACATATGTGTCACTTTATAGTTCTCACTTGTTTAATAGTGTTTGTTACTTTACTCCACATAGAATTAACTTTTTCATGAACATCCCAAATCTTAAAATGTTAAAGTTTACTCATAAAAATAATTTTTTTTTGTATTTTAGTTGCTCAATCTAATTCGATGATATTAATTTTTCTAAGTAATTCCAGAAATTCTCTTTTGAAAATTTATCTAAACCTACTCGAGGTTCATACATACTATAACATTAAAAATCGTAATATCAATAATAATCTTTAGAGTTGCAATTCTATCTCCAATTCTATTAATTTTTACGATATTATCTTTCACTCTTATGTATAATTACAAACAAATTGTAGTGTGCCTTCTATCTAAATACCAAAACCTAAGCTATTAATCTCCTCAGTCTTTTCTCCAACCGATTTAATTTTTTGAATGCATGTGATATTCACCTTTACATAAAATATAATATCTACTCATTTTATTAATGAATCTATGAGAATATTTATATTCCAAAATCATATCTTAATATTAATTTTATGAACTAACTTTATGCACATAAACGTCCATACTGTGGGAACACTTTGCTTATCACACACTAGACTTGGGTGCCAGTTTAGCGGACCTTGCATACTTTTTATTGTATTCATTTCATAAAATGTACCGCTGCTAGGGAGCGTTCTAGCATTTACACAATGATCAAAAGGGTTCATGCCTTGACTCTTTCGACAAAAAAATTATGCTGGCTGTCAATTACCAAACACAACTCTCAACTTTTTTATATATGAGACTAGAGACCCGACAGTGGTAGTGTTAAATCATATTTCAAACCCACGAAATGACTAAACAGATGCCTCTAAATCAATTGATATCAAAGTCATGAAAGCCGGACCGGACAACGAACCACAAGAAATAAATATTCAATGTTCAATGGTCCAACCGAGGTTAAACCAGATATTTAATTGAAAGACATAATGTATATTTAAATTATTTTAAAATAATTTAAATAAAATAATAATAATAATAATAATAATAATATATTAATATCATTTTTATTGATTCAACAAAAAAAATTAATTTAAAATAATCATTTCAATATTTTGAATAATATTCTAGATAAAAATTTAAGAAAAGATAAGTTTTTTTTTTTTTATTTTCAATTTAAATATCTTATTTATGGTCATCCCATGAAAATCAAAAGGCTAAAATTTGATATTATTTGAATTGAAAAATTCTTTAGAAGTTGTACGTTTCACCATTCGCCCAATTATAACCAATTCAATCTTAGTTCTATCCAGAAATAATTCTAAGCTTGGACTAAACCGAACTAATCGGATCACGGTTGAACCGGCGAATGTTCTAGCCCAATTTTTAACACCACGGCCGCCATTGCTGCAGATTTTATTATAGATGATTGTAAGAAATTACATCAACGATTCTTCTAATCCTAAAGTATGATGGCACCTTTCTTTCTATAATAAAAACTAAATAAATATGTTTTCTTCTCGAGACAAAAATTCAAATCCATAACTTAATGTTTGCATCACATATTATCTCAATTTTGAAATGTTTATTGATACATACCATATATTTAACTTAATTTTGGCTAAATACAAGCTCATAAAAGCATATCTACTACACATGAAAAGCCATTAAGGTGAAAGGACCGCTAATCTTAGAGAGATTATTCTATCAGAACACCGGATACAAATTTGTGACAGGAGTCCATCAACACTTGACATGTGGCAAATGGCCCTCCATACTGCAGTACACTGGTTGGTAGGTTTTTAAGAGGATTGAGGCCCACATGCCCCCGTGACATATGCTTACTGGACTCCGGACGCAAATTTTGCATTATTATTTCCTAATCTTAAGAAGATTCATTGAAGAGTATAAGCTGGTAAAACCATACAATTGGTGATAAATATAAAAATGGCCAACGGTATGAATGCTGTGAGAAATTTTGCAGATTTAAATGGTGAAATTACAGCAGTTCAATGGTCGATTTACATATCCCACGCCTAAACATTCATATTTACACACAACACTCAAAATCTTTAATATCACATTAAAAAAAAAAAAAGCACGCAATTACCACTTTTTAAAGTGAAATACACATTCATGCATAGGGTAAATTAAAGCACCAACCTGTTATGTATGTAAATATGAAAGTTTAGGTGTGAGATATGTAAATATATAAGAATTTTGTGTTAGTATGTAAATTTTCCTAGATTTAATCAGCTACCTTTATTCTTACGCGCCAACTCCCTGGCCATGTCACGTAGCTCTTCTGGGGATGGAGGAGGAGGACCCTCAGGAGGATAAACAACATAAGGCCTCTGTGTAAAGAACAGCAGGATACTTCAGTAACAAAGTGAAGGGATGAACAGCTTAAATGAAAGTGATATATAGCAGAGAAGAACTAGAGCCACACTAATAATAAAGTTTAAAAGTCATGCAATGTTTCAAACTCAAATTGAATAATAGATTCCTGTTAGCAAACAGAAGGTGGTAGGTTTTTTAACCTTTGTAAGTTGTATTTCATTGACAGGAACTGGAAACATTTCTGAAAGACAACCAGTTGCAGCAGAGATATTACACTCAATTCATGTTTTCAATTTCTTCTCGAGGAATTCGTTTCATGGATTTATTACTTTTTAAGAGTGCTTCCACGTGAATGAAGGCTCAACTAAGACTAGGGCTGTCAAAAAAGCTCGTTGTTCGCGAACAGTTCGTGTTCGGTTCGTCAATGAATTCGTGTTTGATTTGTTCGATAAGTAAGCGAGACAAACGCGAACAAATTTTTTTCGTTCGGTTAGTTAAACGAACCAAACACGAACAGTGATGCGTTCGTTCGTGTTCGAATCATTATTGTTTGAAATATAAAATAATATAAAATAATTATATATAAAAAATTTATTATATTTTAAAACATTAAATTTTATAAATTATAATATATAATAAAATAATAATAATAATATATTAATATACTATAGTAGTAATATACTAATATAGATATTGTATATTTATATAATATAAGTTATATAATTAATATATAATATTATTTTTATATATTAATATTAGAGATGTCAAATTGGCTCGTCGTTCGCGAACAGCTCGTGTTCGGTTCGTGTTCGGCTCGTTCGTTAAGAAACGAACACGAGCTTATTTCAAACAAATTAAATTTTAAACGAACTGAACACAAACACAAACTTTGTTCGTTCGTGTTCGGTTCGTTTACACCCCTAACTAAGACTAGAAATGACCCGAGCTGAGCCAAGCAGGCACTTGCTCAAGCTCGAGCTTGTTCGAGCTCGATTCGAGCTTTTAAGCCTCTGTTAGAGCACAAGCACATTTAGAGCTACCCTGTTCGTGCTCGGCTTAAACTGGATTGGAGCTCGATTCATGTATGATCTTATTGAGCTTATTAACAAGCAGCTCATTTAATAAAAAAAATGAACTCAAATTAAAGCTTAATCAAACTTTAATCGAGATTGACTAGAGCTTTATACGAGCAACTTATTCTTATTCAAAAAAAAAAATAAACGAATCATATCAAACAAAGTTGTTGAACCTAAAATAAAACATTTAAACAGTATTGTTCATGATAAGATTTAATCAATCCATAATGAAGTTTTAATCGAGATTGTTGACGAACTATTAATAATAATATTCATGAATATGACTAAACCAAACAATAAGTCATTCAAGCTTGTTCATTTAATAAAAGAGTGCCTATGCAAGTATTCAAACTCATTCAACTAATTAATCAAATGATCATAAACGAGCTTTAATCGAGCTGAGCCATTAGTAGCTTCTCAAACGCTTTAGTTCATTTGCAATCCTAACTCAACCACAAGGGGTGCTATCTTTCAGTGATTGAGGCATCCTCTCCTATGGTTGAGCAAATTGAAGAAAGAGACTTTGCATAACGTGGCAAGGAGCTAGTCCTTAATTTGTATCCAAATTTTCATTTATTTTTTTCTAATTTTTTCTATGTTAAGATGTTAATATATCTCCCTTTTATATGTTTATACGTTAGTATGTTGATATGTTAATTTTTACTTTCGTTTTTGCTCTGCACAATTTTTAATTGCAAGGCTTACGCCTCAAAATGCCTTGAGGCTTATGCCTCACCTCATTGAAGAAAAACCCCCCAATATCTAATTGCGCAATTTTAAGCCTTGATGCATATACACATAAAATCCTTAGGATCAAACAACATGATCCCTAATTTCTAGGGTATATAGATTTCAAGTTCGAGATCCCAACAATTGTCGCATAAAAGATTTATATTGTTCTCCGCATAACTGTAGGACAATATCTATTGTCGTTGTGCCCCATAAATTATATAATTAACCATGTGTCCACTCTATCATCAATAAAATATATGGAATAGACTTTTATTTTTTTATAATTATATAAGCATAATCAAGCTACAATCGAATGAAAGACAACTAAATAATGTTATGCTTGTATTTCACTCAAAAAGTAAACGATATCGTAGAAAACAAGCTAAACACAAGCTACTTATCATCCAAACATAAACATCAAGCTTTTTTGTTATCATAGTGGATTGAATGGATCAATGATTCCAACAATTATAGAGAAGGGGCTTTTTTGGACCAACTATATTTCTCATTGAAGGATAAAAAAGTGTTATCCTAGAACTGATCCATGCTTTTGAATTAATAAGTGAAGCAAAATTAATGAATTATGAGTGGCAGAGTCCACTTTAAATTTGTTGACCAATGTCATTATTGTACCTTAAAAGATAATATTGAGGAAGCACGGAACCTTGTCTTAGTTGTGCTAATCAGCCAAAGATGTCACAATGATCACAATTGTTAATCAACATAGGTGAAATATTTTCCACATATGGAGCCAACCAGTTTACATGAGATAAATCAAATCGATAAAATATGAAACAATGTTGATTGCCTTAATCATTTTAATCTCTACAAACAAAAAAGAATAGATTATAAAAATTATTACGTGTAAACACAAGAAGGGAAAAAACCTAGAGGCTTTATCCAATTGAAAAAGAACTATTAGTATAAAACAGTAACAAGATATGGTCTTTCCCCATGGCTAGAGAAGATGCCAATGCAAGGGGAAAAAAAAAAAAGCTACAAAAATTTTTGTCAATAGTTGCACTGTAGAATGGTGGTTGGTGTACCTGAAGGTAGGGTTGTCAAAACGGCTCATTGTTCGTGAACAACTCGTGTTCGGCTCGTTAATTTCGTTCGATAAGTTAATCGAGCCGAACACGAACTAAGATGTATTCGTTCGTGTTCGACTCGTTTTGGCTCGAAATACTACTCATCAAGTTTATATATATATATATATATATTAAGCAGTATTTTAAAAAAATTTAATTGACTACAAGGCTACAAAGATTTATAATCAATTAAAATATTGATTAGGAAAATAGAATAAAAATTATTAAATTAGATTCAACTTGCTCAAACCCTTATTGTCTTATGGTTATATGATTAGGGTTGTTAAAATGACTCTTTGTTCGTGAACAGCTCATGATCGACTCGTTAAGCAAACAAGCCGAACACAAACACACTTTTTGAGCCCGAAATATAAACGAGCCGAACACAAGTGACTCGTTTACACCCCCTACAGACAAAAGGTAGCAACGAATAAACTTCTTGTATGAGATGGCGACGGCACCAATTTTGAGAAAGATGTTTGCAGTTTCTTAAGGAATAAAATCACAATGTAGATCAAAAGGAAGGCAAGTATGGTGCAAGTAAGTTCTTAAAAAAGATAGTTATGCAACCGGTTTATTGGAGAAAATTGCTCCACATGCGTGATAGGAAATAGCTGCAGCACAGGCATTAGGAAAGATAGTTATTGTCTTAATCATAAAGGAAACCACAACAACATAGGCAATTGCAGCATAAATCTTAATGCAGCGATAGTTGTAATACATTGTGGTGGATCTCGGTATGTGGACGACTGCAATGCAAGCAAAAGTCACAACATAGGTCTTGTTGCAATGCAAAACTTGTTGTAGCATGGGTTTCAGAGCAATGGCCATTGTGCAAGTGGAAGTTGCAGTGGATCATAGTGCAACAATGGCTACAAAGCAATTGAAGGTTGTGAAAAAGTTTTGAGGTGACAATGGTTGTGAAGAAAGAACAAGCCTTCCAAGCATAGAAATATCTCCAAAAATGAACTGAATGAGAGGCTACTTTACGTTTTCCAAAATGACATCCTCATATTTATTTTAAATATTCCCTATAACTACCAGCAAAGAATGATGCAAATCATTTTCTCATATGAAGAAACCATAAATGTTGCCCATTCATTATCCCAATTGACCCATTTGACCTAAGCTTAAACTCAAAAGGAAGTGGAAATATTTCTAGTCGGTGATCTCAATACATACTGTAGATTTCAATGTCATGAACACATCGGTGTGACAAATCAAAGTTCTAGCTATTGGATTCATAGAAATAATTCTGAGAAGATTTGCCATCAATTTAGAATTGACCGATAATAATAATAATAATAATACAAATATCCCTCAATATTTTTATGGATAAATTTCTCATTCAAGAGAATATTTTTTCTCAATCAAGAGAATAATTTATCACAAACCGCTTACGAAATAGTGGCTTAAAAAAGTCAAAGAGGGTCTGATGAATTCAGTAAAGAACAGGTCACAAGATAATCAAAGTCCGTCAGCATATCACTCATTATGAGAAGAATCAATGTGTCCCTGGGGCAATGATGTGTTGTAATCGAAAAAACTGGTCTCTATCATTTCAGTAAACTTTTCACATAATATCACAGCAGGCAAAGAATTCTCCTCATTCTCTTTTCTCAACTCTCTTCTTCTTCTTCCTCAAATAACTCTCTTCCCAGTGAAAAAGTTGTGACATCATCCCAAACCAACACCATAAATTCTGCTCAGTCCGCAAATACCTCCTACATCCCCCATTCCCTGAAATTCCTTCTCACTCACAACAAATCTCTAGCATCCACTCAACTTACCACAGAAAACTACACTATCTGGAGCACCCAAATTAGCAAACTCTTTAAGGAAAAGAGTTTTCAGACATTCCTAGACGGCACGCTCGACTGAGCAGCCCAACATCTCAACGATTCCAATAGCCAGGTCATACCCAACCCAAAATACCTTGTTTGGAAACAAATAGATCAAAACCTCTCAGCAACAATCTTCTCCACTATATCCCCGAATATACTTCCATATGTTCTTAATCTGGATCCCACTGCATCCTTCTAATCCAACTGCAGACAACAGCTGCAATCCTCACACCGTTCAAGTATGATCCAACACAAAAAATGAGCTACACCATAT